TTTAGATGTTTTGGTGGGTGAGTCTTCCACTCACACTTGTTGGAGCACTGATTACACCCAAGTGTGTACAGCCGTCCTAACTGTCCACCCACATCTGCGGTCTCTGTTCCTCTGAAGTCGCAATTCGGGCACAGCCACACCGCTGGCATCCGCACAAGTCCCGTAGTCACCGGTCGCTGACTCGTGGGACAGGGTGATGTGGACCGTGCCTGGCCTGTGGGCTGTGAATGTGTCCTTCCTCCCCCCAGCTGGACAGGTGGCACGGCCCTGAGGGGCTGCCTCTCACTGCTGCCTGTCTATTTGGCAGTGTGATATAAGAATAAATGAGCCATTTGGGCTAAGTCCTTGCACTTTAGGTTTATTACAGCAGGAAGCCCTCCCCAAAAAACACTGTGATTACTCACCTACCCTGCAGCTCTGACAGAACTGGATGCCGTTTTGTCTGCTCAGCGCATCTGTCCACGAAGGCTCTGCTCCTCACCCCACCTCAAGGTCCTGTGAAATCACCCATTTCGCCACTTGGCTGGTTCCCCGCTCCTGCCCAGGATTACGAGTTGATGTGAGCATGCGACCCAACCTAGCCAAGCAGAGTGATTGCGTGAGACTCACAGAATGGCAAGGGGAGTCTTTGTTATGTTGGACTGAGGTTGCCAGTGGATTGTGGCAGAAGAGAGGGACGACCCCCAAGAGAACTGGAACAAATTAGAAAGGAGGAGCAGTCAGATAGAAAAGGAAGATCCAACAATGGAACCTCAGCCCCTGGATCAAACTCTACCTGCAGCACCTTCAGATGAGAGCCACAGTGGGAGCTGAACTGTGACACTTGCCCCCCAAAATCCCGACTCTCATTAATGCTGTGACCCTTGAAGACAATTGTAAACAAGCATTGTGCTAGGTGCTGGGGATACGAGTCCCTTCCCTTCAAGTAATCCTCAATCTGGTTAGACTTTGGAGGGTTCATCTAGATGGACTGAATGGGGAAAAAAAGAAAAACACTCCCCCCCCACTAGCCTGGAACTCAAAATGAGCATTTCCTTGAAGTGTCACTGTGGGCAATAAAAACACAATCATGCTGGCAGAATGTGCCACCTGCCCCTAGTAGAAATCATAGATATTTTCACATCTCAAAATACCAGGCAGTTTATCACAACTTCAAAATTACTAGTTATCAGACCTGCTGCTAGAACAGGTTACTCGATGTATACAGAGGGAAACGGATTGCATTTAAAAATATTTTGATAATCAGATTCCAGTACCATAAGTGTCATCTCCATTGTTTTATTTTATGCGTTTAAAATTACCTTCAGAAACGAGGTGGACAGACTTCACTAAGCTCTAGAAACCTAAAATAAAGACCAGATTCATCAGGAACAGATCAAGAGACAATAGCAGTGGCCCTGGTGCTGACTGTAACTGAGAGATTTCAAGCACTGTGGGGGGAGGGAGTCTCTGCTCTAACGTGGGGAACACGGAGAAGTGACCCTGACAGGGCTTGCGGAGAGGTAGGGGGCAGAGGGAAATGCTGGCTTCAGTGGCTTCCGGGATCAGGCAGGCACTGCCATGCAGGTCAGTCGAGGACTTGCCCTCTGCTGAAGTTAATGGCCAGTCAGGCCCAGCAGCATCCGGCTCAGCTGTTCCCAATTTCCATTCTCCTGTTCCAACTGGGGCGGCCCTGTGCCGCTTTCCCCAGCCTCCCTCTCTGGAATATCTTCACTCTGAATATCACCAAGGGTGGCTGGATGCACTGAGCTGGCTTAGTGATGGTGAAAGTGCTGTGAGAGTAAGTGAGAGCAAGATTACACTTCTTAGCCGGGTAAGCTAGCACTCAGTGGTCTGACAGCTGAAATGTAGAAATGCTGATGGAACGCAGAATGATGGCAAGGCCACAGGTCTTCATTCACATGCTGCTGCCCCAGTGTGCTTTCAGGAAAACTGGCCTGGTGTCTGGGATCCTGGGGTCCTGGAGGGCAACAGCCCTAAGCAAATTAGGGCACCTGGCTGCTTCCCTCCTCTGCTGAAGATGGTGCTCAGACTAAGGGCCTGGTGGGGGCCTCTGAGGACCCTTTACCCTAGAGACGCTGCCAGGAAGGGGGTGGGGCTAGACAGTAGCACAGATTGGCTTGGTGGGGAGCATCACGCTCTTTGCAGCCACTGAGACCTGGCCCCAGGCATCCAGAGAGTGCTTCCTGGCCGCATTCTAGAGACACTGCTGCAGGCCTAGAGGGGTACAGGCTGCCAGGCACACCCCAGTCCCAGGGCCCATTTCCCCCTTGGCTTTGCCAGCTCAGGTCGGCCCCCGCTCCCTCCTGGCTGAGGATGGGGGTGCATCCAGCTCTTGAGACACTTCTTCCTTTACTCAAACACTCCCATTTAAAACAGTCCGTGGCCATTTACAAATATTTGGCTACCCACAGGGAAGCGGAGAGGACAAGATCAGTCAGTGTCTCCTTACAAGTCTGTGGGTTCTCTGGCAATTTTTAGGTATATGTTTAAAATGTTCCATCATAGAATGTAAACCAGCAATAGGAACAACACCAAGACCTTTGCCTGGTCACTTCCTGCAGCAACCAGGGGTTTCTGGGCCCCCACTGGCCCCAGAAGCAGAGTGTGTGGTGTTCCAGGAGCACAGTGTCGTCTACAGCTGGTGACATTCCAGCAGTCACAGCCTCCCCTCTCCAGCTGGTCCCCCCGCAGTGGCCCCAGAAACTGTCTAGACACTGGCCCTGAAGGACATGCTTCTCCGGCAGGCAGAGCTGTCAGAAAGCATTCCCCGTGGGAGGAAATCTACTTTCTCATCTAATTTCCACCCATCTGTCCTCATTCCGCCCTTCACCGCCCCACAGGGTAATCTTTCTTCCCTGGACGGTTCCGCAAACATTTAGATCCCTTTGTCTTGTGCGCCACACGTTGATTTTCCAGACAGAAGACTCAGGGAAGAACACGGGAGCACCTACTCGCCCCCTTGCCCCCCATCTCTGCAAGGCTTGCACTTATCCATTTTGAGAGTCCACTCTTGGGGGAGGGGATGCTGTTTAGACAGAACTGTCCTCATCCCTTCCTGTTTTGATTTTAAGCCAAGCAGGATGGGAAACAGATCCACATGGTAGGGAACGTGAATAGTTAACTCCTACTTCCCTTTAACAGTCCCCAGCACTGAAGGTGAGCTCAAGGTGGCTTCACCTGGGAGGCTTTCCCTGATGCTCCTAAGCCCTCAGAGATGGCCCCCCATGCCTACTTTGAGGCTGTGGCTCTCAGGGTCACCTGGGAAGCATGAGAGCCAAGATTCAAACTTTAGTCTGAGGTTCCAGGCCTGACCCCTACCCATTGAGGGAGAAGGGGTGAGCTCCCCGCCTTTAGCATCCTTGGGCACTTAGTTGTCTCGGCTTTGCTGGCCTTGTACCTCTCCAGGGCTCTCAGAGCCCTGCACCGAAAGGCCAGAGATCCCTTGCAGTGGGGTAACCAGGTGCAGGGCAGGCAAGCACCCTGGCGCCCAGCGAATCTTCTCTGGGTCTCTCTGGCATTCTCTCGCCATCTTGTCTCTTCTGCAGTCCCTCTGCTTGCCCTCTCATAGGCATTGTCCCTTTGCAGTCTGTCCATGGCTGAGTGATGCTGTCCCTGGCCTCGAGGCTCAGGTGAGCACACTTACACATGCCCTCACCCCACTCCACGTGTCCACACTCCCAAGCCTTCTGCAGCAACACGATCAGTCGCAGGTGATACCACAGGTGAGGCTAGTTGTGTATAAAGCCTCATGAATTCACTCACCGTACATCCTGAGGGGAAATTAAGGCTCGTGGGCTCTACTGGTTAAAGTTGGTTTAAACTTGGTTGTGGCTCTGAGCAGTCTGTGGTCATCAGGTAAGCAGCTTCAGGTAATTTAGGGGTGTCTGCAACTGGGGAGCTGAGTCCTGGCCGGGTGAGGGGCAACTTCATGCCCCACACTTGGGGAACCAGATCACTGGGAACTATTTTCTCTGGACAGCGTCCCTTAACAGGCCTGCTGGCTCTGCCCACCACTATCAAGGTCTTGTTGGTGGGAGAGCCTTTGAGGACCCTTAGCCTCCGGGATTTGTGGCCTAGTCAGATAGGCCTCCCCACAGACCACTGAGGAGACTTTGGCCCTCTGGTGTGGAAAATGATGACGACTTCGTCAACTGTTGGTATGGGGGCACAGACAGGCTGCAGGAAAGTAGTGGAGGAACTGAAGGCGCACCTCACCCTGGGAAAATTGGGGGGAGGGATGGGACTTGGCTTGGAGTATTTGTTCCCAAAGTCAGATGTGTCCTGGATGCCATGCTGTGCCCCCACTGCAGGTCCCCAGCAGCGCAGGCAGGGGCGGGGGGGGGGGGGGGGGGGACCTGTGGGGCCTGTTGCTGGAAACCTTGGGGGTAAGAGAGGACTGTTAGAAAGGGTGGGGTTAGGCCCTGTGCCTAGCGGGTGGGGGGAGCTGGGCCACTAGCAGGTGGTGAGGAGGGCGGTAAGGCATTCGCCAGAATCTGTTTGATTCAGCAAAAGCCAGAGACTAGACCCGAGCAGGGGGAGCTGCCTTTGGGCTCGGTTATTCGGGTAGGAGTTGGGGGGAGGGGATGGGCAGAGACGGGGAGAGGGGCGGAGAGCTGTGGGTAGGGGGAGGAGGAAGAGGAGTGGAAGAAGGTAAGGAAGGGGAGGGAAAG